TTATGGTTCCTTATGAATAATAAATCTGATGTTGATCACAGGTGTCAGATTTAATTAAAATTTTCCTGTCACCAACATTGCAAACGGGTGTTTTCACACCATCTCATCCCTATGGATTTTTTCCACAGGTGAGACACTTACAAGCTGGAAGGCTTTGGACAAAACCTCTCTTATCTTCCCCTCAGACCAGACTTGCTGTTGCCATATGAGCATTGATAATTGATAGCTGGTGCCTGTGTGATGATTGCTTTGTGTTATACCCCTCTCTAGAATAAAGCTGGTGTCTGCAACTGGTTCAAAATCCTCCAGCTTGGAGGGTTGTTGTCCCTGGGTTCAGAGTTTTGAGTCCTGGGTTGCTATCTTGTTGGTGACACACCTGCTCACCAATAACCTACCCCATTTAAAAAACAAATTCAATTGGTCAAATAAAAATTAAAGAGACAGAAAATTTGGGAAATGATTAATTTATACCAAACAAAATCTGAACCATTTTATGACTTTTTCTTGTTGGCCACATTGCTAGCAAAGATATATATAATCATGTGATAATTTTAATCTATAGGACAGGGGACTGATTGGGCAAAACCATTCAATCCCCTACCCAAAATTATTAAATTGGTTAATATCAGAGAAACGGAGCATTTATGAAAATGATTATACAAAACAAACACTATTTTACAACTTTCCTCTTAACATCAGAGCCCAAGTGCAATTTCAGGGCCACCAACCCCACCCTGGATTGTGACCTCCTGTGCTTGGAACGAATTGCAGATTCTCTTAATATTCCTCCAGAGTTGCAACATCTTGGTCTCATTGCCCTAGAGTAGGGATCGTTGCAGGCAACTTTTCAGCCAACGTGCCAGCAGCCATCTCTGGTCTGGTGCTGTAAAGATTAGTTGAAAGTATCCTTGACGATTGATGCAGTCTTGATAAATTCCAGGGCCAAACTCCCCTCCCCTGGAATTCTGTTGCATTGTTGTATCATCGAGGGTGACTCAGTCAGATTAGCCTTGTGTACATGAGGAAGGTGTGAGAATGACTGTAAGTGTTCAAGGCAGCGTGTGTGCTTCAACGCCTGCCAACTTCCGATAATCAAAGATTGCATATTTGAAATGTTTCATTTTAAATGGTGTGTTGCCTTGATATCTTCTTGTGAATATAATATTTATAATAATATTAATATTATTAATTATGTAAAACAAAATATTATCAATGAAAATCTTGTAATTACCCCAGCAAGATCTGCTCGCGTTTTGATTTCCAATTAAAATGTTTATATAAAATATAAATAAAAAAAAGTACCTCTGGTTAGTTATTAACACGTACTCTTTAGAGCCAAACCAAACCATACCAAACAACATCACTCGCGTTTTGTCACCTTGGACTCTGTCAAAAAATAAATTGTTTTTTGTTTTTCCAAAAAAAAATTCAATCAATTCGCATCTGTACTACCAAAAAAAAAACCAATAGGATAAATAATTAATGTGTACGCATCGATCAAATAACAAACTTCTTTCAACAATGTCAAAAAAAATACAAACAAGAACCAAACAACAAAATTACATTGAAGATGTTATTTCTGGGTAAGTGTTTTAAGAATGGTGGTGGTTATTGCCCGCCACTCGTCGTTACTCTAGTTTATATATAAAGATTGGTGGTTATTGCAATTGTTGCCACGCGTCATCACTCTGTTAATTATAAACTTTTTTTTTATTAGTGAAAATAAAGAAAATGATGAGAGGGTATTTATTTCAATAAAATATTATTTTAGTATTCAATATTGTAAACACTAATTCAACATAAAATAATTTTTATATATAATTATCTTCTGCACAAACAATCATGCTCTTTAGAGTTGGAAGAAGAAGGCAGAGGAGTTGGAGCTGGAGGTGAAGCAACTAAGAAGAAGATTTAAAGGCATTGAAGGTAAAGATCTCGAATGTAAATGTTGGGTTATACATTTCACTAATTCATAGGCAAATCACCAATATACAAAAAATTATTTTCCATTTCATTCCATTTCGTTTATTTATTTACCATTATTTTGTTTTAAATAAACATTCTGCACATTTATCCTGAATTAATTTGTCCATCTTTTATATATGAAGGATCAATTGAAGAGACAGGTAAGGTCAAATTTTATGTCAAATATTTTACATTTATAAAAATGCAAACAAAACTTCATTGGTTATTTTTGTTACTCTATCATTCTATTGCAGTTACTACTGGAGTCAAGCGTGAGTTGGTTGGAGATGTTGTCACAATGAGGAAGAAATGATTATTTACTTTTGAACACATTCATTTGGTCGATTCTCCTTCTGTTGCTGCTGTACATAGAGTATTCCCAAAACATCAAAGGAATGCCAATATACAATATCATCGCCCACCAGATTTAGATTATATTGGACAACCTGTTGTTTTATACCGTGAAGTTTTCTCACAATTTCTCAGAGATTGTTCAACCATTGAAGTGGATATGGAAATACACTACCCAGACAAAAGTTTGTGAACGATGTTTTTTGTTAATTACGCAAAATACTACATAATAACAACACATAAAATTTTAATATT